TTCGTAAGAGACCGTAAATCTAATTTTTACCTGGTCTATGAATTCATGCAGTAAACTGCCTATCCATTTACATACCTGGTTTGGAGCCTCAATACTTCTTAATTTAGGCAGTAAGAGCATGTTGTTAATATGGTTTCAAGCCTTTTGAAAGTTGAGGTAGCACACCTCACCCTTTTATATCATGTCTAAATTGTTTGCTACTTCCTCTAGAAAAATTAAGAGATTTGTCAAACATGAATGACCTTTGATGAATCTATACTGTAATTTCGAGAAGAAATAGACGTGTATTAGGTATTCCCTTAGTTTTGTTCTGCATCACTTTAAAGGAGACGCTAATCAATCTTATCGGACGGTAGTGTTCTATATTGGTTATATCATTTTTCGTAGATATAGGGTTTATTTTTGCTTTACGCCAGTCGCCCTGTACAAAACCTGTTGATATCGACTAATTGGATAGTGATGTTAGAAGAATGGTAATTAACGGTGCCAGCAGCTTTAAAATTGTTAGATGCAGGTTGTTCAGGCCGGAGGAGTTTACCTAATTGAGTCCAGGGACCTCAACTAGGATCGCGTCGTATTCTACTACCCAAATCCTGCTGCACGGGACTGAGACTCCCTCATCTACAACGTTGATTGTGTTCATTTGGAAGTGGTATTTGAAGGCGTTTGCAATGCCTTGGTTTGAGGTTATCGTACCTAAACGCATAAGTGAACCTATGGCTTCTCGAGACCAGTTTCACAGTTTCACAATCTACCGCTGGAGCGCTAAAGTTACTCATGATACATAGTCGGAGAGGAGTCTTAGTCAGGTTCTGGAGTTTGTTGAACAGTTTAACGTTTTTGGAGGGCTAAGATATAATCCTACTAGCGTTAGTACTATTGGGGATCCTATCTTACAAGCCACCATTTTTATGTTTTCAGATTCACGGGTGGGCAGCATTGGTGCCTACTTGATGTGGTCTTTGAAGAGCAAAATTAATCTACCTGCCCGAATCCCTTTTGGTCTGTCGAACCTGTAAGTGGTGAAATTATTACATATTTGACCCAGTTCGATACCATTCAAGAGCCACATGTCCGTTAAAAAGGGAAACTAATGATAGCGAGTTGGCAAGCTCCTCTTTCTTGTTTGCTATTCTGCAAACCTTCCTTATGAAGCCGCTTATATAGTATGATTTCTTTTCTTTTGAGAAAGAGCTGGGTCTATTTCAGTGGGTATCGCTCTCTTTTTCGCGCTTACGAATTGCGCAAATTTTGTCAATAATATTGTCTGCGGCCTTGAACCGCTCTTTAATAACTGCGTCTTATATACCCGTATAAAATAACTGACTAGACAATGGCACTGGGGAGGTGTTACTCCCCATATCTGGGGTAATTACTGTGTCCAGGGCGTATATTACTTTGGGAGCTGCTGTCAGTATGAAGTTGTAATCTCTTTGAGAGTAGATATAAAGTAATATTCGTCTAGGTCTTCTTATAATTCCATCTGGATTTCACTTTCCAATACGGTGAATTTCTCTGTTGCGCACGCAGTTGACGGCTTGTGAGTTCCGTATTAGCATATCTATTTAGTCATAATCCCTCCTGGGTCGTGTATCCGATAATCTAATAAAAATTATTAAGTTTCTGTTCCTTCCCATGGATAATTCGTAAGCGGATTTCAGCGCCTGTACTTCGCACAGTACATATTCAAGTTTGTTGAGTTAAAGATTGGAAAAGCAACTTTTCCCGGGGCAATTATTAACCGAAAGAGATACATCTCCTCTAGTTGAGTTCGGTTTTCTGGTAGGATTTGGATCCGGGGTATTGCTGACAGTCGATAATGTTAGTCTTATGACTGATGGAAGCGCTTGAATTTAAACTTTACTAAATGGTTATGTATCTGAATGGTTTTGTGATTTTAAAATTCTGATAAATGAGACTATCATACAGCACAAAGTACAAAGTAACCCATCAAATTAATTTCTAAACTTCAATTCAAAATTCTAATTTCAGGACCTGAGTGAGTCTTCACCTGTATGGCATCCTGGTAATTCAGGGTTCCTTAAGGGGAGTGATTTGTTTGCTACTTGGGTTTTCCGTGTGATCCGGCTCCGATTTATCTGGAATATAAGTGGGAAAATGAATATCCTCACTTTTGGCCTAACTCACGTGTAACCTTAACCGATTGGAAAAACACTGCAGCTGCATATGGGATATTCTAAGGTAGGAAAACTCCATTGGAGAAGAACTGGTGTCTGACAATCAACTGGATTCTTATTGCTTCCAGAAATGACTGGTGTTCACAGAAGCTTCTATCTTCCCTTAGGTGGAATATGTAGCTTACAGGGAAACCGTCAAGGTCTCCAGTTGCTTTAATCAGTCTTATCAAATCCATGTTTGGTCTGTCTCTCCAGTGAAAGTGGATTTAATGCAAGAATTCTATCTCTTTAACTCAGCCCTTTCGTTTCCTAAATTGTTCTTATATTGTGCTTTTGGACTTAATCCAGTGGAAAAATATATTTGAAGTGAAAGTGCACCCATACCTAAACACATCATTTGAAGTGGGGTTTGACGAAGGCTGTGTATAGCGGGATTAAGACCTCAGCTCTTCTTTTTATGATGGTAGTTTTTAGATAGACTAACCATCCGCTTTCCTTTACGGCTGTTGCATCACACGCGGCCGACGGGGTGAATATGTAGAACATTCCAACTACTATGTTTGTCGAGGTGAATTCCTGAATCTCAAAGCAGCTTATGAAGAAGAGTGACGGCTTCTGTAAAAACGAGAGCATTTAGTTCTTTAGTGCGTTGATTTCAAGATCCCATTTGACATATCATCTACATATTTTGCAGATTTTAGTCTGATGGGGTGTCGAAGTAGTTGCTGTTTCTCACCAATCTAACGTCATCTGCATAGAGAGAACATTAATTTTCTTAGACTATTGAGGTCATTCGGTAAGATTTAAAAAGAAGGCGCCTGTATACAGGGCTGGGGTACACCCTTAGAAGGGAAGTCAGTTTCCAAGTGAGATCCTCGAACATTAACTGCGAGTGATGTGATAAAAGCTTTCTGACCCAGTTTTATATAGCGTTAGAGATTTCTGCCGTTCATTGATTGATCTCCAGTTGGCGGTGACCCACTAAGCCAAAGGCGTTTTTAGGTCTAAATATCGCACCTTTACTTGGATACTCTTATCCAACCTGTTAGTGGTAAATTCCAGGAAGAAATCTGTGCTGAAGAGGCATTTTAGAATAAACCTATTGTAAAATCAGAACACAAGTCCGAAGGCAAACGATTGCTTTTGGAATATTTCGCAATCCCGCGTGTACAGATAATATTACAATTGGTTGTTATAGAGGACAAGTTTTTACGCTGTATCGAAAAGTCATTCAGGAGGAGGAGAGGGATGAGAGCCCTGTGTGTCATCGTTTACGTGAAGTTGGTTGTGCTTGGACTGTTGTTGATGACGCTGATGTTGAAGATCCGTTTTGGTTAAGGTAAGTGAAGCGCTTAGGCCAGTTGCTTCTTTGTGCATAACTCTAGCTTGTAAAGATAAATGCCTATTGCTTTGGCAGTGGCTAGTGTGTGTAAGCGCACTGCCTTAGGGGAGTTGAGGGCACGTCATAAATAAACCTGAACGCTTATTTCGGTTTAATTTGAGGGCCTCTATCCTCTGGATAAAAGAGAGTGGCCCTTATTATGATTCTGTGCTTGCTTGTCTTAACCAACCTGTTTAGTGTTCCTCCATCCTGCGGGGTAGTTGTATTGTCTGACGACCAATGTACGTTACTGCACTTTGTTTTACAGTATTGCACATATCTTGTGTAACGAGATGCGCCCATACGTTTGGGATATTAAACTGGTCAGGATATTAAGTCTATATCTAGGATCTATCTCCGCCTCTGAAGGAGAGCAACACAGTGGCTTTCTTCCTATCTTTAGGTAGGAAGTTCGAGGCCGGTAAAAGTTCGACATTAACAGTAATAGTTTGAGCCTCGGTGTATGATGATGGACATAATCGAAACCTTGAGATTTATTTGGTTTCAGGTTGTTCAATGCTATGTTTACGTTCTCTGGGAACTGAAAACCGCTGGCATGTTGTATGCGTGCTTGTTAGTTGGTTAATGACAATTACTGTCGGTCTTGTGCACGCACTGGAAGTAGATAGAAAGACATTTTCGAAATGCCTTTTCGTAGACAGCAGGTGGACTTGTTCTCGCAATATACTGCCTGCCTTTTCTTGCTGATATCCTGATCTATGCGCATTCGAGGTATCGTTTAGGGTATTTATCTTTGCGTCCCTGAGAAAATTCTTAAAACCATATTTGCTTCCTAAGCCTAATATTGCATTTGGTCACCAGCTCCTTTTTTAATCACCTTGTTGTTTAAGAAGTTTGATTTAACACCGCAGCTTAAGAAACTTTTATCACTCAGTTCCTTCAGACGTTTTTGAAATATTTTTTTCACATGGCTCCTGAGAGTTCTTTTTTGATCCCGAAGTTTTCTATAAGATCACCTCTAGGTAGTCTTTTTCGGAATAATAAGTCCTATCCTCCGGTTGTGGATTCTCTGAGAAAATTCTTCTGTCTTGGCCCCAGCAACCTGGCAATATTCAGCCACATGCAAATCATGGAACGTTTTTCTTTTTATAAAGTTTATTGTACCCTGATTTGTTTGGCACACAGTTTGGCTTCAGATATGTGTGAAATTTAAATTTGAATTTGAAATATATATCTTGATATGTCTGACACTTTCGATCTTTAATCATCAGAGCAACTAATCTCTTCACATTCTTCAGTCAGGCTCTCCTTTTGTAACAAAGTGTCCAGGCTTGCACGTTTGCAATACTGAAATTGTAACCCATATTTGTTTAGTAGAGAACACTCTAGGCTTTTGTTTTAATATTACGAACTGAAATCTGAATAACAGTCTTTAAGCACTCCCGAAAGTCAGGGGAAAATGGTTTGTCCAGCGGAACTGTGCCACCAACGATACAGGTTATTGTCAGAAAGATCTCAACAGCTCGGAAGTTGCATACAAAATTCATCATTTCCTCTCGAAAATCTCCAACTTTTATCCTCGAATATGAACAGGAACCCGTACAGTATACGTTTTTCTACTAAAAAGTTAAATTGCTGTTCAACCTTCAAGACCACTTTTTATTGCGAATGAAGTCCGTATCATTTAGAATAGATAATTTATTGTTACCATTTGTTGTAATTGGTCGAAACCGTTGTGGTCAGAAATCAAGTTATTGCAGCGCCTAAAATGATTGTGTTTAAGTTAAGCGGCCCATCGCTTTGAAGTGTTTCATAATCCTCATATTTTCTATACTGATCACTTTTGGTGAGAAAAATGTGCGACTATCGATCAAGTGCGTCCTGGAAAGGTCCTGGAAACTATCCATTTAAAATCATTTCACTACATCGTTCACGACGTCTGGTATGTGTTAAGAATGCCTGCCTAGGACATACTGGTTCGCACCTCGGTTGTAGTTGCGAGGCGCGGCTTGAAGAGCACTAGTAATTACCAACTCTCATACAGCAAAGTGGAATGAGAAAGCCGGTAAAGTTCGGTATCATTCAGGCTCGTGTTGAATTCTTTAAAGGAGTGACAAGAATCTGAAATATCTCTGGTCAAAGAACCCGACAGATGATTTGTAGCCGAATTTGGTCACCTGGCTATTCAATCGACGTTTATGGTTGTTTCAGATGCTAAAAATATCTGCGAAACTCAAAATCACACGCTATAAACCACAAAAGGTGTTACATATGTTATCCGTATAGTTATCCGATTTCCGTCTAAATCAATGTTCAATGTTCAATGCTCTTCAATTAGAGGCAGAGGGTAATTTCCCGTATGAGCCTCATCACCACAGACTCGAAGATCTCATTCATGGTAGATCTGCATACCACTTTGTTCGCAGGACGCTGTCGAGCTTCCTCTTAAACATCTTATCAGTGATGCATTTTATTTAAATTTTCCTTAGGCTAATGCTGATCTTAATACAAATATGACATTTTAAATGCTGCTTTCAATGTTCTAACTTCACAATTGTCCACTTATGAATCTGAGACTATTTCAATCTGAGGTTAGCTGAAACGGATTTAAATTAGATGTTTCTGTATAAATCTCGGATGATTTTCCTGATTCCATTTCCGTTTTATTACAAACAATCAATTGGGTCCTGTTTTCAGTAATCTCAAAATAAGTTAAGTTGGTTATTTTATGCGGTCACGGTCGTTTTAGCTGTTTCGCCATTGACATAATTAAACAAAAAGATCATGATGATGTTTGAGTTGCCGGAGATGGAAAAGATGAACCCAAAATATCTGCTACTTACGATTTGTTCAATAAACATAGTTTAAAAATCAGTGGATATTTATCCACAGATTTCAGGGATTCTGAATGTGCTCTCTTGTTGTCTTCATCGGTTATAACCGGTAATTACTTATTGAGAAGTGAATTTTCTCCAGAATGACCCGGAAAGTGTATTTATTCAAAAAGCTGTTGGAATAACCATTACCAAAATCGTAATTGGCCGGTTATTGAGATCTCGTACCAACAAACGTCGAACAATCGTAACCTTCTTTTCATTTAGACTTGCCCCCTATCAAATCGACAAACTCAAAGAAACGGAAGAAGTGATGATCATCTTTGACCAATTTCCGCTTTTTTCGTGGATCTCGTCATGCATCCTATTTATTTTTAAAAACTTCTCCCACGGAATTATGCAAAAACAGCATCGATGTGATATATATATATATACATATCACATCGATATATATATATATATATATATAACCGGCTTGCGACCACGCATGGTGCCAACGTCACAACAATAATAACAATAAAAGGGGGCAGCTGGATTGGAATACAGAACAAAATGGAAAGAAGGTGAAACAGTTAAACACGGGAAAATGGTAGATATCCTGGATAACAAATTTTTTGTGTGTTTCATCGTACGCTTGTTAAAATTTTTGTGTTGTTTGTTGTTTTTTACGGGGCACGGGATTTCGACAGGCAGATCATGCAGCATTTAGTAAAAGATAAAAAAATTATGATAAACCTATCAATAACGCTCTAAGTTGATCCTACCAATGTGTATGATCAAGTTCAGTTTCCGTTTCGGTTTTGGTACCTGTCTTTTGGCTACCCATTTAGATGATGCAGCAGAGTAAAAAACAAAAAAAGGATGAGAATGATATCGGTTTTATTAATTAATTATGAACCCCTTTATTTTCCGAAGGTTCTCGGTCGAAATCTGAACACATCAGCAACTCGCACCGCAATCAATAATGCTGTTGGTCGATTGCAAACCGGAGCCAACCTGAGACTGACCACAGCCGCTGGATCTAGTTCTGGTGATGGAGGCCGACCGATGACATCTGTTCGGGCAGCAGGCTACTCATCAATGGGTCGAAGGCTATCAACAACAATGGGCAACGCAGGTGCCTGGTCAGGCGGCCAACTGCCCTTGGACACCGGACCTGCCCCACCGCTGGAAGTCAGATCTGACGATAGTCCGGAGGAGAAGATTAAGGTTATGGAAAAGCGAGTAAGTGTTCATACGGCACAACTTGCTTTGCACCTCTTTTGGATTGTGAAAGTTAGTTCTAGTTGATGTGAGTACTGTAATGTGAGAAGTACCGTAGGTATTGAGTAAGAAAGAGAACCGGTTGATTAGAGATCAAATTACATTTTATTTTAGTTACTTACTAAACAAGAGTAGTGTAAAGCCAACAGCTTAAAAACCGTATTCCTACCGAAACGCGTGATTCGCCAGTTCAACATACTTAGTTATCTTCATTATGAGACAAGTTAGAAATATAATATATAATATGAGACGGAGAAAAAGAGAAAAGATTATCTGTCGTCGGAAATGATATTTTACAAGAAATTTATGTGCGACTTTGGAAAATGGCATTGACCTGAAATGGATCTGGGGAACACAAGTCTGAGAGCGGCAAACCCAAGTCTGTTGCTTCCCGGTTTTTCTCATCAAGTGCCCGCAGTACGCAATTTAACATGTAAAAACAACTTTGTGTTCATATGTTGAAATATGCGTTGTGTCGGTTTGATGTGAAATACCGAAAAATTGATCTGCGTTTACCGCTCATGAACTTCGCTGTGGGAATATCGTATGAAGGCCATAGCAAGCAGACCGGAACCGATCTGTGATGAAACCATTTTGAACTCGATACATTTTTCACCAGTTAAACTATCAAAATTTTCCCCTGGTTTCCTTGAGGAATCCCTAATCTTGAGGTGTCACCTCATTCTAGTATGGGTGAACAGTTGACTGAAGATTTATGAACCTAATGAGTATTGTTAATTATCGTCGCAAATTCATTATTTTAATCGCATAAATTATATGGTTGACTTATACCTCCAAAAACGTTTCAGCTGTTTGCAAGTCAGCAACAGTACAGAGATCAAAATAAAATAAATTGACTAACTTCCGTTGATGGTGATAAACGAAAAACATTGGTTAATCCAAATTTTAATGTGTTTGCGTAGTTTACGTCCTAATATCAAATTTTTTTTCACGTATTATTATAGTCTGACAACACTCTAAATTCTTGAATTTGTCACGAAAAATTGTTTGACTGAGTCTTTCTTGTCTGAAAATATCCAGTTACTATTTCTGGGGACAGTTCTTGCTCTTAAGGCTTTCATAAACCAGCGGCATCTGCAGCACTAGCTCAGGAAAAGTCTTAAGAAACGTCACGAAAACTGGTGGGTCAAGATAGCTAGTGAACTGTAAGTAGCTTCTGCGTCAAGTAATAGTCGAAGACTGTTTCACCTAATACGCACCAACGGAGGTCGCTGCATACCAGTCAATGAGGTCATTTTTGATAAAAGTGGACAGAGCATCCATCATACAGAATAACGACTTGATCGCTGAGCAGAGTATTTAGTGAACAGTTTATTTAGTCCGGTGCTAATGCGGTTATCGCGGCGATTGCAATGGAAATTCCGTGTGTGGTAACATGTGACTCTCCAACAGAATTGGAAGTACGAAGCTATATTTGATCGAGTGAATACAGCAGGACCTGATGGGCTTCTCACCATTCTTTTCAAGATAGGTGGGGGTGACTCTCTCGATTCGATTGTCAGCTTATTTCGTAGCATCTGTTTGAAGGATCGTATCCATTTATCCTGAGAAGAATCGCTGATCGTTCCGATCTTCAAGTAGGGGTCACACAATCACTGCACAAACCGCGGGATAAGTTTAGTTCCGATTATCACAAAATTGTTAACTTTGTGATACTTCGTCGAATGAGATCCTTACGGGAGATGAATATTCGTGAACGAGAAGCGGGATTCCAACCAAGTCGAGATTACAGCAACCAAATCTTGAAGCTGCGTTAAATCCTCGAATGGCGCAACTCACACCGTCTACCAACAGTCGCTGCTTCGTAAAGGAATACCGCAGAAGTATGTAAACCTATTGAGCTCGCTGTACCTGCACTCGTTGGGTAGCTTAAGGGTATACGGTGGGCTAAGCAAATCTTTCGAAACCAGGAGTGGTGTTCGTCAAGGGCTCTCTATTTCACCAGCCCTATTCAATTGAGTCAAAGACGAAATAATGAGAACTCACTAAGTGATCTCCAAAATGTTAGCATTGAATGGGCAATTGGAGAAAGGTTGTACGATTTGAATTACGCTCACGACATTGGTAGGAAGTATGGGGAATGAGCAAAGCGCTCTTGATAGATAGGCTTTCAAGTTCTGTAACTCCGTTTGTATCTTCAAAGTGCAAGTTGATGCTACAAGGTTGGGTGTCGCTTAACTCAGAGCTTGTGTTTGATGGTCAAGAAATAGTTATGGTGGAATGTTTCTTCTACTTAGGTAGTTGTGTGAGAAATGACGGTAGTGTAGTTGAGGAAGATAAGCGTCATCAAGACGGAAGCACCTTTGGTGCAGACGTGATTTTTAGTTGAATCTGAAAGGTCGTTTATAGTGCGCCAGTGTGCGGTCAGTTCTGCTTTATGGTTGCGAGACCCTTAATTTACAAGTGGAAGATATTCATCGCCTTGCAGTCTTCGACTGTCGATGTTTACGTAGTTTGACCTGGGTTGGATGGAGCGAGCGTGTAAGCAACTCTGAGGTAAGGCGTCGCGTATTTGGTAATGATTCGGTGGAAAATTAATGATCTTGGATAATTTAGATGAGTAGGTTTCGCCGGCTAGGGCACGTATTACGCATGTCAAGCCATCGTCTACCGTACCGCACCTTATTCACAGGTTCGACTCCAATTTAGAGGAAACAATGTGGAGATCAACAGATGACGCGGGAAAGACGCATGAAGAAATGCATAGGGCGATTAGGTAGAATAGATGTCTTCCGTCTTTCGGGTTGGGGTCCAAAAGACCCTACAACTGGTTGGTTGGAAACACTGAAGGATATGACAGCGAACTGACAGCAGTGGCGTTCGTGTAATTTCTTATCGGGAAAAATGTTTGAAACCTTACGTATTCACACTTAGGTTTTGCACTCTGTGTTAATCATCGAGGTTCACCCTTTTTGCTACCCTCCAGTTAGGCCCAAACTCTGTTCATCTTGCACCTTCTCACTTACTTTGCGTAAACGGAGAACTTGGCAGTAATAAGTGAAATTCATTTCTCTTTGGTTCGCTGTCGGTTGATGATGATGAGGATGTTTTTGATTCCAGTGGGAAAATTTGATTTATTGATTGTCTTTAATCCTTCTTTCAAGATACAACCAGTACCGATTTTTGCATGCAGAAAAATTCCACCAGGAGCCATTGATAGTGCATATTCATTCCCTTAAAGCAACTGGAATGTGATTATAAAATATGGTCAATACCACACAGAATTTTTAGTTTATATAGACTAGCTTCATCAATTACTTTCATGTCAATATCATTCGTGATTTAATAAACCGTGTTAGTCGATGTCATTCCTTAGAAAGAAGCTATCTGTATACATGCGGGTCTACTAAACCTTGCTAGGACAGGTAATGCAAGAACTGGGTGCTTGAAAACGAAAATTGAGGGAATAACTCACTGGTTTTAATAACACAGCATTGGATGGAACAAAAAATAAAGTTATTACTTAAGCATGATCGATTTCAAAAGAAAAGACCATATCGCATAGCTGCATGATTTATGTCCGGTATAACTTTGCGTCGCCCTGCATGGTGCAGAAAATGGAATGTTTATGTAGGGCTTAGATATGGCAACAAAGTAAAATAAGATACAATCTAAAAGGAAGGAGCCCATTGCAGAACGAGTATTCCCCTGGCAGATCCCTAGGTGTCCCCTGAGTATAACGCCTGGAGTCCCCAAGGTGTATCCCCTTTTGAAACATTTGGGGGGACACTCACCAATGTGCCGAGTATCCTTTGAACGTCCCCGGCTACTCCAGTTCTAAGCCAAAAAGGGGACACTCATGGTATGCTAAAAAGTGACCACCCGTATTTGTATTTTTCACTGTTCATTATTACTTTTTCCCGCATTAAATAAACGCAATCATAAAATATCAAGCTTAGTGTTTTTCTGCTACCACAGGCTTTGATTCCACTAAAGAGAAGCGACTGGATAAGGCATTCGGAACACGGTCAAACCGATTCATTAAACGTCACCTACTGCTATTGCGCCTAACGGATGCTCATTCTCCAGCTATTGGTGAAAAAACTTAATATGTTGATAGATTCTATATACATACATATATATATATATAATAAAAGCAAAGTGCCAAAACATATGTATACAAATTAAAGGTTTCTTTCTTCTATTGGTTCCTGGTTCTCTTATTCGTTATCTGTAATGTTAAAAAGTTGAAATTGTTAACAAAAAACAAATCGGAATAATGCGTATTGGGTAATACATAACTATGATTTATTCCGATCTAGTTCAACCTGTGAATGGTCCAGGTATTAAAATCGATTGTGTGTTGGCGACGTCTGATCGTGGACGAGTCCGTTGTATCCATCTGTGACTCTTGCTTGCAATACATTGACTACTTGTCTCGGGATACCCCTGGTACATCACCGCATATCCATAGTATGTTACTAAAGGTAAAGTATCCTATGATAGATCACTCACCGATGATTACTCGGCAAATTGGAGTGTTTACCAGAGGAAACCTCCCGTTTACCCCTATGGGTAAATGAAGGATCAGATCACCGTGGTAAAGACATGCTAACATGAAGTTATTTCTTCTTGACTCAAAAGGGAGGGGTAGCTCCCATCAATTGCTGGAAATCATCGTAGCAAAGCCTAAAAATCTTGTGATTCGTGACTGGTAGATAATCCGAAATGCCGTGCACCGGTCCACCTGGTGTTCTTATTATTGTATAATCGGATAATTGAACATATTTCGGATAGGACCTGAAGCCAGATACTGCAATCCAGGTCAAGTTCGCTGCATACAACTGACAGCCGAAACAACGGAAACCCGTCTTCAGCCACAACTCGACATCTTCTGACACATAAACAGCGCATTTTCTGCAGTGTGCAATATTTTGAGATGCAATGAAATCGTCCTGGATATAAATTGCGCATTATTGCGATATGGTCTTTTATTTTGTAAGTTATTACTCACTAATCCGCCGCGTAAGCACGAATGGAAGAATCTTACCAGCCGATTGCCCGTCAGTTAGTTCTGTCTGACGAGTATCAACAAAATCAAGGTTTATATATTCACTTACCACTTACTAGACCTAGCTTATCATCCAAGTCAATTCATCGTAGAAATCTTTAACCCTATTCTACATAGTTCTCGAGATACTCAATTAAACCTTGTTAGACTCATCTGTACATGTTCATGTTCAGCAAGCAGCATTTTCTGGTCGCCCGTCCATTTTCAAAACTAATGCTCAACTACTTCTCGGCTGAATGCAATCACTTATGTAACAACACGTCCCCTTGCATTGGTCACATACATTGGTGCTTAGGTTATTTCATACAATCAACTCTTAGTGATTGTAATTTGTTTGTATGTGAATACAACACTACTCATAAAGAGTCAGTCGATTATCGGTGATAAACGTAAATAGTCTTCAGTCTTCAGGATTGAAGGCAGAGGGCAGGGTGCCCGTGTAAGCCCCATCACCACTGGGTCGAAGGTCCGATCACAAGTGTTCGTTCCTTCATAGCCCCTTCAGGTGCCCATCCAGACGCCGTTTGAAAGCAGTGTCTGTCTTCTCTTCCACCACAATCGCTGGAAGGGAATTCCAGGGTGTTGTTGACCTACGCCAGAGTCGGTAGAATAACGGAAGACGAACTGACTGAAGTTTCCGCAACGTGAAAGAGTGCCCCCGCGTGCGGTGTTCTGTCCGTAAAGAGAAGTACTGTTGCAGCTCCGGGCCCATATCACCTCTCAGGATCTTCCTCAGGCAGATGAGATCTCCCCTGAGGCGTCCATACGCAATTAGGAACAGACCAGTAGCCTGTAGACGACCTTCATAGCTGGTCCCGCGTGATCCAACAACGAGTCTAGTGGCATCAAGGTGTACACGCTCCAACTTATCCAGTTAACCGGCCGTGCAGGGATATGTCGCCGCACCACCATACTCAAGTCTTGGTCTGACATGTGAAGCGCACAGCAGCCTGAAAGCGTCCATCGTGAGCTGGTTGAAAGACCGCCGAATAGGCCCGAGAATGCTTCATGCGCTAGCACAGACCGGATCGGTGTTTTCTCGGGTCTTTGGTGATGACGTAACCATCACAACCAGGTCTCGTTCGCACGATGTTCTGCACAGTGTGATTACCTGGAAGTTGTAGACTACCTCTGAGTCGGCACGCCCCAAATGCAGGTGAGCACACTTTGCTATATTGACTGGAAGAGCCCAGATGTCCGCCCACTGAGCCAGGTTGTTCAAATCCGCTTGAAGAGAACTTCGATCATTCGGATCCTTGGTTGTACGCCAGATTTTGATGTCATCCGCATACATAAGGGATGGGCTACACAGTTGACCGGGCAGGTCGTTCACATATACCACAAAGAGCAATGGACCAAGAACCGAGCCTTGGGGGACCCCACTGGGAGCGGAATACCATGCAGAGAGCGATTTGCCAACACGGACGCAGAACTTCCGATCGATGAGGAAGTCTCGCAGCCAATTTCGCATGACCACACCTACACCTAGGTTGGACAGCTTTCGCAGAAGGATGTCGTGCGGCACCTTGTCGAAAGCCTTGCTGAAGTCCACAAAGATGATGTCCGCTTCGTGTCCTTTGGCCTTGTCCTCGGTCCAGCATTCACGTGCAAGTAGCAGGTTTGAGAGGTATGAGCGACCCGGCCGGAAACCGTGTTGTTGGTGGCACAGGTGACCGTGGCACACCAAATGCTGCGTAAGCCGTGCAGCCACCAGCCGCTACATTACTTGATCCACAACACTAGTAAGGCTGACTGGTCGATAGTTCCCAGGGTCACTCCTATCCCCAACTTTGCCCAGTGGAACAATGACAGCATCCTTCTACTGCCGCGGTAAACGCCCTTGAGTGAATGAAAAATTGAACAGGTTGCACAGTGGCACTGCAAGCACATCTGCCAGCTCCTTCAGGATCAGCGGATGCACACCATCAGGTCCAGGTGACTGGTGAACCTTTAGTCGACGCCGCTCCAGGGCCACCTCTCCGATAGTAAATGGGGCCCAGTCCAGCGCAGTGTCAGTGTCCAGTAGATGTGCCAGTGTGCTGGAGGCTGGGTGTACACTGAGGCATAATGTGATGCCAGCATCTCCGCTTTGTTCTCATCTTTTTCGGCTAGTGCCCCATCGTTGGCGATATTCGGGAGACCAGGCGTTGCTCTGGTTCTTCGCCTGAGGTAGGTAAACAATCGCTTTGGT